TAAAGGTTATAAGAGACAAGTAAGATTATATGTGGTTATGAGATGGTAAGGACTAATAGCAAACCAGAGGATATGAAAGAAAATATTGTAAAATTTTCAGGGCAAGGAAAACAAAACATCGAACAACTCACAAGAATTTAGGACATTTGAGCTTCTTTTGATCGGCCTTAGTTGGTCAGCACCCATAAGATTAGTGAGTTATCTGTCTACTTGTAATAGGAAAAATAAAAGGACATGACACTTAGGAAGAATAATTTGGATTTATCCATTAGAGAGATTCGGAAACCGAAAATGAGGGTTAGGAGCGGAAGGCCATGGTTAATAATCAACAAATAGTGGGGGAGGATGAAGCATGTTTTCTTTAGTTTTGCTATATTCGAACTAACGACAATGGAGTTCATTATATTCTTGTTACGTCTAGATATTGGGTAGTCCATAATAAAGTGCCTCATTGGTAGGCGGGAGTTCAAGGAATAGTTGAAGTTCTTTAGAGTTTAGTAACAGGGTTATTAGCCTTTTAAATTTGATGAAGGTGTCACAGTTACGGATAGGTACTGGCAACCTGTTCCACAATAAACTATACCGAACTGTAAAAAACCTACAACGCATTTGTTTTTGGTGTTTTTCGGTAAATAGTTTATATGCATTGTTTCTTAGCCTATAGGCAGGGTTATTGATCGTAGTTGGGAAGGAGGTTAGGAATGAAAGTCCATTTATTGCTTTGTAGAGAAATATCAGATTGTTCCCTAACCTACGGTGCCATAAAGGTTCTAAATAGAGGTGCTTACATCTACTTGTGTAATTAAGAGTGGTGTCACTTCCTAGCAGTTGGCGTGTATAGCGTCTTTGAACATCTTCTACTCTTATTTTGTCAGTGGTATTCATATTAGAGAAGATAAAAGAGCAGTATTCTAAGGAAGGTCGTACACATATTTTGTAAAGGGTAAGCTTAGCCCTTGTTGTGAAGAAATGTTTTGTTATGAAGCCAATTAGACGTCTGGCTTTAGAAATAATAGAGTATGCGTTTGCTTAAAAGTCTTCTTGAAGCTGTAGATGATAGGTAGCTACTCGGATCCCTAGGCGTACTGGTGTAAGTCCTATGGATCACGAGGTTGTTGGTGTGTTTAATGCAAGTTGTTGATTGTTTGTGATGTATATACTTGGATTCCTGCTACCTATTTACTTATCTGTAAAAAGAACCACTGTTTTTTTGGTCGGTAGTGTTACGGGAGAACTGAAGACATTTGGCTGATTAAAATCTTTATACTGTACAACAATTTTACTGTGTTTTTGGATGTTTTTGTTATACTTAACCTTTGGACTTGTTTGTTTATATCATTCCTTTCGGATATTTTGGTTTCTTTTGTCATTGGTTTGGTATTTGGGAGTTTTTGCTCCGGAAACCTACAAAATTGAAGGTTTGTTTTGTAATTGTTATAATTATTATTGTTGAAATGACTTTGGTCGATTATTTGTGAATTGCAAATAAACTTGGTATCTAATTTGGAGTTTTGGTTCTCTTGTCTACTTTAGTTGGTGATTTGCGAATATCGACGGCCAGTACTTCAATAGTTGGAACGGGCAAAACTCATAACTTTACGTAGCATACAACAATGGGTTAATTGTTGTACGTTGTACGTTACACTTAGGTTCACGTTGAAGAACTTTGAAGGGTCCTTCGTATGCTGATTCGAGGTGTAAGTTCCAGTGTAAGTCTTGACGAACGAAGACATGTGTACTATGCTGTAAGACCCCTCCGAATGCTGAGTTGGATGCGTCTATGGCGATACCAATAGGCGCTTGAGTGTAATGATGTGCTAACATAGTTGCCTTTGCGATGAGTTCCTTAATTAATGAGAATGCTTTTCGATCGGTGTCGTCTAGGTTAATTGATTTCGCATTTCCATGAAGTTGGTCGGTTAATGGTTTCATAAGGGATGAACCGGTATGAACCGTCTGTAGAAACTTACAAGGCCGTTGAAAGTTCGCAACTGCTTGATCGTGGTCGGTTCTGGGTAATCCAGAATAGCCGCCACTTTGCTTCTACGGGGTCGGATGCCTTGGGCATCAATGGTGTGTCCTAAGAAGTCTAAAGAGGTTGTTCCGATTTGGCATTTCTGAATGTTTACAGTAATGCCATGTTTTTGTAGTCGATCGAAAACAATGTCCAGATGCTTGAGATGTGATTCTCTGTCCGGACTTGCTAAGAGGCAGTCATCAACATACGCGTGTACATAGTTGAGACCTCGAAAGACGTCGTCTATAAACCTTTGGAAGTTTTGAGGCGCATTTCTTAAACCAAAAGGCATTCACAAGTATTCGTAATGGCCGAAAGGAGTCATGATAGCGGTTTTTGGAATATCGTCATCAACCATAGGGATTTGGTTAAGCTTTAACTAAGTCGATTTTCGAAAAGACAGTTGTACCTTTCAAGGTAGCTGTCAAATCGTGAATGTGAGGCAACGGGTAACGATCGGGAATTGTTTTAGCATTCAGGCGTCGATAATCACCACTTGGATGCCAATCATTGCTGTCCTTTCTAGAAACCATATGCAAGGGGGATGACTTTGGGCTAGTATACTGTCGAATGATTCCTTAGTCAATCATGTGGTCGAAACAGTTTTTAGCTAACCTAAGCTTTACGGGAGCCAGTCGGTGTGCTTTCGAGAATACAGGTGGTCCTGTAGTCGAAATGTGATGTGTAACATTGCTGGTTACACAAGGCAATTTCGGTTTTGGTTGATACATCCCGTAGTATTTAATTGTGACTGGGGATAATCTGCAACCAGAAAGAGGAGTTACACAAACGGATAACTTAGTGTTACCGTCCATTAACCTTCTTTTGCATGTGTCGATGAGTAGATTGTGGTACTGTAACAGGTCTATGCCAATGATTGTCATAGAAACATCTGCGACCACGAAAATCCAGTGGATGAGTTTGCGTAAACCCACGTTAAAGTAAACGTACCGTTACCATATGTGGCAATCGGTTTTCCGTTTGCCGCCTGTAAGCTTCAAACAGACTCGTGGAGCCTGTCGTTAGAATCCGCAGGAAGAATACCAACATCTTCGCCGGTATCGACAAGGTAGAGAACTTTCATAGTCACATCTGTGACGCATAAAAGACGGCAATGTTCGCCGGCTACAGTTGCCGTTACCGTGTGCGGGCTGGGAAGTTTCCTGAGTTTTTAGTCTTGTCGGTGGACTTGGAGTTTGAGTAATTTCAGTGTTTCCTGCAATCTCTAGAGGACTTCCCATGCTGTTTATGAGACCAGCACCATTCGCGGTTATCTGTCTCTCGTGATCTATAGACAGATCGCTTATGTGAAACCCTTCTTCGTGGGATTTGTGATAGTTTACAATCATTACGAAACCGAAGACAGCGTGTCAGTGTATGTCATAGTTCCGTGATGTCATTCTGGGTCGTTTGGGGTTTTCCTTTGACTGAAAAAATCTCGGCATTCGGAGATTTCGTGATCTCCAAGATGCGGTAGGCAGATGCATCCGCTTTGTCTACGGCGTTGTTTTGGAACGAGACCAGGACTGCTTGCACCTGTTGCGAGAGTTTTGATCAGAAACGTTTTTTGAATAGGCCATCATCGAAAGTTCTTTGACCTATCACCTCTCTCATCCTAAGCAACAAGTTTGTCGCAGAACCCTGTTGCAAGTCGATGTTTTTAAAGATTTGGTCTAACCTTTGTCGGTCGGTTAGATCTCCACGTCTCAGAATCGATTATTTGGAAGTTTCGTAAGGTTCCGAAACATCACTAGTAAACATACTAAGTGTGACGTATTTGTTAAATTCACGCGGTAGCGCTTTAACAACCGCAAGGAACTGTGTGCGAGAGTCCGTAATGCCGTGGCCGTTGTAGCTGTAAATAATTCCACAAAATCAATAGTTCATTAAGCGTTCGACATTGGATGCTGACCACGTTGTTTAAGTGGACTTGTTTAGCTAAAGGCTTTCGGTCATGCATCCGCACCAGATCACGTTTCAACTCGGCGTGGGACACAGCTCCTACGTTTCATTAGCCAGCTCATAGAAGAGGTCCTCGATATATTGGTAACGAATCAAATATATCTTTCTTGCCTCTTCTCGTCTGAATTCTGATTTCTATCTGACTGGGGACGATCGAACATAGAAGGTGCTACTGGTAACTAGTTGTAAAATTAGAACATCTGTTGCATCCTCACCGTAAAAGTCGGCTTCTGCATAGTAGAACCAGGCTTCGATATTGTCCGGCCAGAAAGACATTAACTGAATCGGGGGGGGGATAGTCCTTAACTTAATTACTTTGGGTGTCTGTTCCATCATAGTGAAAAATCAAGTATTATAACAAACGAAAAATAAATAGTCAAAATATATCCGAAAACTCGAAAAAATATTACAATATATAAAATTCAAATAAAGCGAAACAATGATTTACGAAGTTCCAAATAGGAACAGACTTGCAAATTATCATTTGGTGTACTAGAGCGTGTCAGTCTCACCACTGAAGATACCAACACTATTGTAGTTTAAAAATTCTTTACCACCTATGATCGAATCGCACCCACCCAGTTAAAATCAGTGGTCAGAAGCGAGGAGGTTGGATGATATATTTGGTGGGTTATCAATATTTCGAGAAATGACTAATTTAATCTGGGTAATGATCGTAGGAGATGTCTCCCACGCTGTGCTGTAATTTGATCTGTCGAACACTTACAAATCTATTGATTTTGGGGAATTATTTACAACTACATACGTATTTTTGAATTAAATTCTCAGTGTAAGTGAAATAGAATCTGTCATGACTGTCGAAAATGACTTAAAGCACATCACTTGAGAAATATTCTGACTTGTAACTAGATTACTCCACCTCTCTATTTTCACTACTGAAGACTAAGACATAGATATTGTTGAATGAAGCAAATGTCAAATTCAAAAATCACAGATGACCTTGATGGGGACTCGACCCATCCTCCATTAGCAGGTACATAGTACTTACTGCCCAAATATCATGAATAAAACCCTAATCCTCGGTTTGAGGCACTATGTCACATTAAATCATGCAGTTTTTCCAAAGTTTCATGCTCATCGGACTACATTATCTCCTATATGTAGAAATGATTCTAAATTTCCACCGGTTCGTTGCAGCCAGATACAATACTCTCTATTTTCAAAAGATCCACGCTCTCCTAAATTCCTCAAAATTCCTATCAGCTTGACAACTTTTGCACAGTTTTCTACCGAATCGAAGAACAATATTCCACCAGATGTGAACGAAAACAATGAAAATGACTTGGACAAAAGGAAATCTAGTCTAGTAAAAAGATTCAAGGATGCCTATGCAATTTATGGGAAGGTTGTTCTGGTGACTCATGGTGTGACTTCATGTTTGTGGTTTGGACTGTTTTATTCACTGGCTTGCACGTAAGATATTTTTTTCCTTGTCACTCATATAATAACAGGAGTATCACCATCAGCCTACAATTAAGACAAAATATGTTGAGTCATAAAGCTGCTCAATATTTGTTACGATTTTCACAAGTTATGAAGCTCCATTTCTTTGGCTGATATGATTTATCTAATTGTACGCCTTATCTACGTGCCTATCTATAATATCAGTTTCAGTTTGGAAAGGACAGGAGGCTTGATGGCCTGTGTTAGTCCTGGCAATGGTGGTCTCTCAGCTGATCCAGCTTCCTTTTGAAGGAGTCGACGGATGGAGCCTCAACCACGTGCTGAGGTAATGAATTCCACTCAGTCTTCAGTAATAAGGATAGGAGGTCTAGTGACCTATTTTAATCCTTGCAGTTTGTTACACTGTGGAGGTCCAATCTCGTCTTGAAAATATCAACAGAAGGTGCTGATATTACGTCTTCTGGTAGAGAATTCCAGTAATTCACTACTCGGTGCGAGAAACGAAACTCCAGACGTAGACGATTTGATCTCGGTTTTTGGACTTTCTTTGAATGTTCTCTCAAATGATCAGCCCTAGACGGGAGGGAAAGATAGGACATATTAGTACCAAGGTCATCGTTCAGGATACGATATGCCAATATTAGATCACCCCGTATTCGCCGGTAAGATAACGAAAATAAGTTGGGGTGTCTCAGTCTGTCTTCATAAGATAGGCTAGATAGGCCTTTTACCATTTTTGTCCTGCGGCGTTGGACTTGTTCCAACATATCCGCCTCATATTTGAAACAAGGACTCGCTGCTTGAATCCCATATTCCAAATGTGGCCGTACGAAAGTTGGGTATAATAATCTAAACATTTCCCCATCCAGATACCGAAAAGATCTACGAATAGACCATAATACCCTATAGCCTTTTGCAGCAGCAGCCTTACAGTGACTGGTTGTTTTGAGATCATTACTTAGTATGACTCCTAAATCTTTATAGTTTTTTACTTTGGGCAACACTAGTCCACATATTGTGTAGTGATACGAATCATCATAGTTATTTAATTGCATCACAACACTTTTATTAGGGTTTACTTCTAGTGACCACCCATTCATCCATTCCACTAATGAGTTAAGATCTTCCTGTAAAACTATTCTGTCTGACATACTATATATGGGTCTCCAAATCTCAATGTCATCGGCGAATGGTAGGACGGATGACTTAGCTATAGCTGGTAATTCATTTATATAAAGTAAAAAGAGAAGAGGACCTAAAATTGAGCCTTGGGGGACGCCACTTTTTACTGGTTCCCACGATGAGAGAGCCCCATTTACTCTTACCCTTTGTCTCCTTTCCTGAAGAAAGTCACTTATCCAGTCTATGACTGCATAATGAATTCCAAAACTTTCTAGTTTCAATTTGAGACCAGAATGGGAAACCTTATCAAAGGCTTTACTTAGATCTATGAAAATGACACCTAAAGGAATATTGCTATCCTTTGCCTCAGCCCAATCTTCTCTTGCAATGAGAAGATTTGTCAAACATGATAGACCTTTTCGAAAACCATGTTGTTCCTTTGACAAAAGATTATGTCTTTCCACGTAGTTTATAACAGCCATCCTAATAATTTTTTCCATTAGTTTTACAACTGCACTAGTTAAGCTGACGGGTCGATAGTTACTAACTAAATCCCTACTCCCAGCCTTATACACCGGACTGATTATTGCGTTTTTCCAGTCTCTGGGCAATCTGGACTGCCGCAGGGATATATCAAACAGTATCGCTAAGGGTTCAGCAATAACATCTGAGAGGGCTTTCATAATCCGAGGATGAATATCATCAGGACCACTAGACTTATCAGGTTTGAGATGCTGAAGTAAGCTTAAAACAGTTTCTTTCTTAATAACTACAGGGTCCTTCAACAAGTCGCCGCAATCACAATGAATAGGTGATCGTTCCTCATTATTGGTAGAAAAAACTTTACTGAAATATTCCGAAAAAACTTCCGCTTTTTCGGTATCATTTCTTGCCAAACTTAACGGATTTTCTTGTATCAAAGTGATGGTAGCCTCGGTTAACAGGCTATTTGCATCCAAACAGCACTGTTGACATAGACATACGCACCCATTTTTACTGAACCGCTTGAAAGCTGCATGTGTTAAACATCGTGGTACCAACCTTTGCACTCATCGCACTGCATGCCGCTATCAACAGGATATCGACATCCTGCGCGGTGGCAAATGCTTTTGTTGCATCTTCCAGTCACTTTAGGATGCGAAAGTGAGTGTTGACTACAAGTAGAAAAAAACTATAAATAGTTAGGACCAAAGTACTAACAGACACAATAGAAAAACAAAGGTACTCTGTAGTACCGACGATAAAACTAGTTAGGATACCAAAAATGATAGTCTAATAGAATACTTTAACTGAAAGAAATTCAATCAAAGTATAAAAACAGTAGTCTTGATACGTTAATAACGATCAAAACAATAGAATTTACTCAACAAATAAAAATACCACTGTCCTTTTTAAATAGCACGGGTTCGATTTGAAAATTTATTAGTACTTAGAACATCTAGTTTACCCCTTAGTAAGAATAATGCACTTCTTAAAAAACTAAGAATGCCTCAAGTTATGTGGCATCAGTTGCAGATCAGTAGTTACTCAACTTTTCCATCTATTTCATATTGACTAATCTTGAGTCAGTTTCCTATATGTATCAACTATCTCCATGCAACTTTGTTCATTAAAGGTAGTGGGTTAAAAATGTTGCGTTAGGTCAGTTTTCTACGCTCAATGTTCCGATTTTTTCGTCAAAATGAGTTTAGGATTATTGGATAAGTTTCTAAATAAAAACTACTTTTTTTCTAGACACAAATAACACTGTACAGAGCTTTTCAAAGTATATAATTTAAGTGATTCGTAATCATCATTTACTACCAAGTCCATAGTATGGTGTGAGCAACAATAGGTACAATCATGGGAAACTGGTACATCTAATGCTCAGCTATTTAAGAATGGCAGTCTAATTTAACTTGGATATGAGAAACACATCTCTGACTTGTATTGATCACTAGTCGCTTCAAACCATAGATAAATTAACACTTGAAATTTTCAATAAAGTACTAAGATTCTACTCTACTGACAAATTTTAGTCTTCTAGCCGTTGTAAGCAACTATGTCAACATGTTCCAAATGCGATTCCCTCCAAATGCAAAATGTGGCTTCATAACTGGTTTTTGTAGCTACCCAGTGTGATAAATCATTTAACTACTCCAGTTTTGTGTATTGTAACATTAAGTCAGTTAAAATTAAACGCGAAAATTGCCTTAGTTAACTCAGTCGGTTTAGGTTTACAACTTAATCTGTAGTGCCGTGCTTCATTAATAGTTCACTTCGATAACCGTTATCATACCAGTATTAACGGTGTATAAAATCAGAAGGCAAAAGTAAGCGTTAACTACATTTTTATTGATGAATGATGCAGACCAGAAAGCTGTGGGCACATGAGCAAGTGTAAGCGAACGAAGCATACATAACACGTATCGGAGATAGCCGGTAAGCCAACTCGATAGCGAAGCGAAAGTAATGCGTATTGGAGATGGCGGGGAAGCCAACTCATTTTAAGCAAGCGTTGATCAACATTTACAGTCAGATAAAAATGAATGACAGACATATGTTGAATAAGATACGAAGTGTGCATACACATGCGCTCATATAAAAAGGTAGTCAAGGTTAATAAGTGAATAATTACCAAGATCAAAGTATGACTCATATATAGGTGAATTGGCTTGGTCAGTAGCTAGAATAAAGTATATGGACTTAACATATAAACTGATACTACAATTCCATTTATTTTTCTGTGATGTAAACTTCCCATCTCTTATTATAACTCAGTTATTTTGTAAGACGGGACCATTAGATTAGTCAGCTTCAGCGTAGGACCAGTCACATGTATGCATCAGTCGAAGTTGCCAGTATTTTTTTATTCCGGACTTTTGTATTTTTGCTGTCTCTTAGCTTTTAAGAAGTAAACAATAAGACCTCAAATATTCATGAAGCAGATTGCAAACTTATATTAGGTTTATATTGATAAATAAAACAGTTACATCTTGTGTGTCTCCAAGATAACATGCATTTACAGCTAAATATACCAATTTTGATGTTTGAAGCCTCGGTGTATTTCACAGCATGGGATTAATAAGCCGGAAATGGTATTTCAAAAGTCTCAATCGTTAAAAGTAAAATTTGTAGGTAATGACATCATTAAGGTGTATAAATAAAACGAGCGAAATGAGGCAGGTCATCAACGAACAAAAGAGTGTTTGTTTGGTAGGCATGTAGGTGAGAACACAACTATATTTCATGAAAGATATTTCTACTGGTGCAAATGACAAATTCGGTTATTTATTCTTTGAATACGTGGCTTACACTGAGTCAAGAAACGTCCGAAAACTTAATTTTACTACTCATTGAAATATTACAAATATATAACTTTTATTTATAAACTTCTTATTGCTCTTAAAAAACGTCTCGAGTGGGAGAACTCAAGATAGTGATAAGCGCCAAAATCTGTAAGACTCCTTGATATATAGGTCTAAACACCACGTCAAATTAGCAGCTGTCAACTGGGTGTTCATCCTGAGGTTCCTTCTCTGTAATATGCCCCCAAATGCCCCGGTACGGGCGAGAGTGGGGAGAGTCCTCTCTCACTCTCGAAATGCTCTCACATGGCCAGCGAATATATAGCCTCTGCCTGGGAAGTCCTACTCACTGCCTTCTCGTGACATTACTGTTGTTTACGAAATTGAGAGGACGAAAAGCGAATGTCCGGCGCTTTAACCGGGTCAGTGGACATAGAGGGTCCACCTAGGGCAGTTGGAAAACCATGATTCTAAACCAATGGTGCACATGGGCTCCAGTATCCTGAAAGAACAAATGGCGTAAGAACCAACCGTTGGTCACCGGTTACCATGGGACTGCATTTCCTCACGGTGCTCCACTGCCTTGTGGATCAGATCTATAGGTCAAAGGCTCCGGGTGTGGCCCCCCAAGAAAACCACCTGCTTCAGTTTGGGCACCTGGGCAGTATCACAGCCCTCAAGCAAATCGAATGAGATTTGTGAGGCGCACATGTATTTGGTGTTTCCTTGTACCAATATTTATGTGTTTAAATAAATAAATAAAATCTCTGTAATATAGTGTTGCAAAATATATGGTAATGTACTTGATCTCATTATAGACTTTTAAAGCTTTAAATTCCTCGATTTGTATTTTTAAATTTATATCACTTATTCATATCTGTGTTTTTAAGCACTTAATATGACGAATCATTTAGAATAAACACTATTTTAGGTCCTCATAGTTACCTATTTGTTTTATGAGAGTTGCATAAAGTTTAGAAGCCCAAGGCACATTCGTAAGTGACAAACTATAATAACCATCCTTTGGCATGAGTTAGGAGAAGCTGGAAATCATTTTACAGTTTGATCAACAACATTCATCGTCAGATATTAAAGGGTGGGCATACCAATCGACCTAAAAATTATTAGATTCTGTTAATCTGTAAGTCATCTAGAGCTGTTTCTCCTAAACTACAATTCTAGTTTTAGGTCTAAAAATAAAGATAACCACGATTTAAATATCAATGCGTCACTATTTCAAACTCCACTTGACGTATTATGGTTTATGTAACTGGATGACACCTGTAGCCTTCAACAAATACATAACCAATACAATAACTAAACCTTTTATTTAGTTGTATTGATATTGCAAATAAGAAACCCTCTTTTTGCACTGCTTTTGATTACAGCGGGGTCAATTTGTTGGATATTCTTCAAAGTCTCAATGCGCCTGATTGGCTAACTAAACCCCTCCATTTAGGTGGGGGTACTGTGAATACTCTGGCTACAGCCATTGTATTCTACAAACTGATGGTACCGTTCCGCTACGGTTTAACACTCATATTAACCAGGTATCTAGTACGTTACCTTCGATTGAAAGGAAAAGCACCACAAGTACAAGAAAATGATCGTCTACGAAACTTAGCTAAAGAAGGAGCAGAAATTTCACGAGAACGACTCAAAGCGCGCATGGCTAGAAGCAGAAGAAATGTACTCATGAAGAGGAATCAACGATGATTTGTACAGCGACCTTGTAAAAAAGTACCTTTTGTAATTGTACATTCTCTTTCATTTTATACTTATCAATAAAAGTAGTAGTTTAATGAAAAACACTAAGATGAAGTTTTGAAAAGCATTAAAACAAAATAAAACTGGGGACTATGTTCTCCAGTAGTAATCCAAATGCTAAATTGTGTGGTTCCATGATTGTTTACAAATTTCTACCACTTTCAAACATAGATATACACTTTTGTAAACTTACTGTAATTTATTGAAATGACTTTGTTTTTTTAACGAGTACCAACTATTTCTCGGTATAAAGATTATGTATGATTCTGATTTGGATTAGCCATATGAAAGCGCAAAGCGAATCTTCGTTTCCTTGACAACCCTATTTAGATTTTTTATATTCTTCACTGGGAATTATATGCCACTGTTGCAATAATTTGTTTTAATGGGATATGTCACATCTTAAATCAGTTGTACTTTGGTAGAAAGTGAGAATTTTGAAAGATAAATAGGCTGACACAATCAGAACCCGGCTGTATATTTCAGCAATACACATTACTAAGAGCTGTAAAACGTACTTGACTAGTTCTTTTTTATCCTGTTTCATATTTTGACAATATATTATTAAATTATCAACTCATTAACCATATGCAAATTTTATACTTTGCTTTGGAATATATCCTAAGTGCTGGGAATGGTGGTACTAGTCAGTTGCCTAAACCGAAATAAGTGGGACTAGGTTCTAACGTTCAATGTAGTGGCTAAAGGTCGGACGCCTGAACTACTGAGACGCTGCTTTACCTGAGCGTATATAGAATCATGAACTACTATACGTAACATCATGTTGTGAATAATTTTAAAACATGATAGTGGTTGAAGCATACAAAGGATTGACTAACACTAATCATCGGAGTATTATGTAAACATTTATTGAACATCAGAAGTTTTTGATAAAACTGAAAATATTTTCTTTGCACGTTTTCTAGCAGTTGGATATTCTGTAAAGAAGAAAAAAACAATACAGCCGGGTTAATGAACACCCTACTTAGTCGAATGTGACATTTAGCATTTATGGAAATGTGCAAGGATGAAGTTAAATTATTTTTGGTATTTTATTGTGTAGTTTTAATTCATTAATCTAAGTCGAATGCCCTGGTACGGCCGAGAATGTGGAGAGTCCGCTCTCCCTCTCCAAATGCTCTCACATGGCCACGCGTATATAGCCTCTGTCAGGGAAGTCCTATTCACTGCCTTCTCGTGACATTACTGTTGTTTACGAAATTGAGAGGACGAAAAGCGAATGTCCGGCGCTTTAACCGGGTCAGTGGACATAGAGGGTCCACCTAGGGGAGTTGGAAAACCATGATTCTAAACCAATGGTGCACATGGGCTCCAGTATCCTGAAAGAACAAATGGCGTAAGAACCAACCGTTGGTCACCGGTTACCATGGGACTGCATTTCCTCACGGTGCTCCACTGCCTTGTGGATCAGATCTATAGGTTAGAGACTCCGGGTGTGACCCCATAAGCAAACCACCTGCTTCAGTTTGGGCACCTGGGCAGTATCACAGCCCTCAAGCAAATCGAATGAGATTTGTGAGGCGCACATGTATTTGGTGTTTCCTTGTACCAATATTTATGTGTTTAAATAATATTAGTTATATGATATGATCAATCACATTCAAGCAGCAGATTTTATATATCAAACTCTGTAGTGAAGTAAAATCCATATTTGTGCAGAGTTATATTAGTCAGAGACTAATGTTTATTTTTGTAAATAATAACATGCTAATAATGTAGTTATTCACAGTCTTTGTGAAGCAGTAGTTGAGTTCTAACCGTCAATCAGTCTCATATTCGAAACCCTTTTTACCTAGCACTTCGATTTGAGCAGCCGTATAGTATCAGTAGTACTTCCTCAAAGTGGGCTTCAAAGCGCAATATATAAGGCCGTGCTTGGTAAGTCACATTACACTTACTGAGTCTTCAACAAAAAATATAGATGGCATATGGTGACATAGAGTGGTTCTCTTTATTATCTGGAAACATGTGGACGATTATTTGAGTTACAAACCTCATATCTGAGCTCAGCGTAGAACTGTGCGTTATGCAGGTTGCATTTTCACCTTACAGATGATTTTCAAATAATCATTTATTCTGAATATAAGTGCAAATATACATAAACAGTTTGAAGGAAACCATTAGTACTTAATCAGCTATCCCACGCCGTCACTGCTTTTTTCATCCCAGTTCGTATTCACACTTTAAGTATTTAGTCATGTTTTTGTTTTCATAACTAATAATTTGAATAAAAAAAGTATGATACCTAAGTAATGGACGATGTTGGACCCAACACTAAGGTGCATCGAACCAAGATGCCCCATCATATGTATGCATAATGTATTAAATAATCTTTGGATTTATTATGGACGAAACATACTTGACTTTTGCTGACCAATAATATTGTCCGGTGACATATCTCCTCTATTCACAAGTTCCGTATTTGTCTCCAAAGCATCAGTTTGTTCCTCGATTATCTTTGAGCATTGACTTAATAAGTCTTGTCGAGCACATCCAACTAGTCCTTTAATATAGAGTTTAAATATTCGGAACTCCGAACTAGGAATCTGTTTAATTTGGATTATTTGATAGGAAACAAGAGTAAATAGAAAATTTATCAACAAAATTAAAAGTATCTATAAAAGTCAAATAAAATAATTTAACAACCGGTTAGTGCTGAAAAACGAATTTAACATGTCACATTTCCCAGAATCTATTATGTAGACCCAAGTTTACTTTGAAGTTTCTAGAAATGACTAACACTTGAATCACTCAATATTCTCTTCGCTTTGCTACTGAATATATATATATATATATAATTCAGCACTAAATTTAGATTGAAGAACTTGAGGAAAACCTACTACTTATCACAATTACCATACTGACAGAGAGGTGAACACAATAATAGTAAGGTGTTCAGCACATTTAAAATACACTTTCAGTTACATGAGGTCTCACCCTGAGAAATTAAAGCTACTTCTTCGATCTAAAAGCTACGAGCTGGAAGTCACATTCTGAGAAGTACCTCACAGACAACTGAAACATGAGTATACCCGGGAAGAACGGGGTATTTTTTTGTTTGCCATTATAGTCTGCCACATACGCATTAAACACAAACCAACTCACCATTTTTCTATCTAGTGCATTTTTTATTAACCAGGACTGAGGAAGCTTTTTAAATTTCCAGTTCTTATGATCATCATGCCACATCCTAAGATAGTTTAAAGCCTCTTCTTGTGTCTCATTGGGCGTTTTCCGTTCATTTGTTACTTGGGATTTTCTTGCCATCCACTGTCTGCTTGCATGTTTCTTTTTCAATTGACGCTTTTTGTATTTTTTTAATTTGGAAATATTTTTGTTTTTTCGTTGTTGTTTAAAATCTGGATTTTTTGGTTCAACAGATTCCTTTAAGATCGGTTTGGCAGGTTTGCGTAACTACAAATAGTGGAATTTCGTCAAGAATATTAATCTAACATAATATTCTAGGTTTAAGGAATCAATTAAATACATTGAAAATCTGTTTGGAATAAAAAACATATTTCCTAGTACAATATGAGCCCAAATATATCCTTTTCGCAACTAACTACCTGAGAAAGTGCATAAAATAACATTGTTGCAAATCGAAACTAAGCAAATTTAGATCACTTAGTCATTCGATAAATCAGCGTGCTAACTTACATAATCTCATTACAAATGTAATCTAGGCTTAAAACCAAGTTGATATCAGCTAGAAGTGAAGTAGATGTTCATAGAACTGTTTAGAGTCGGATTCACTCATAATATTCGAAAAATTCACTTCCGTTTTTTAACGGTAAAGAATCCTTTTACTCCACACAGTGTGGTCGATATTGTTCAAGCCCAGTCAAACTTGAAATTAACTGTTAACCGACTCACTGAAAACCGTGAACAGTTGGCTCCGCTTAAAACACACAAGTAAATTCGCTAATACCTCAACAAAACGCTTGGATTAGAATCAATGGGTTTCGGCAACCTTACGACCTGTTGTTCAATTTAGACAGACTGCTAAGGCATTAAATAGAGTCAGGACGTACTATATCGATTCAAGCGGCATATCCACCAGGTAAGTATTGTTATTTATCTCAGCCCTTGAAAGTAAGAATCAATAAGTCATCAAAATAATGTGAGAATGACATGGTGCCTATAAAAAATTTGTCAGAAGAATTTTGATGCTCAAGCTACTGAAACTCAACTAAACCGAATATCCTTAACCATCGAATGATATCAGTATCTGATTTGGACGACCTAATATCTGTTTTCAAAGATTTTGGTCAAAAATAACACTGCATTAATCAAACAGATATCGGATATGCTCATTATCAAACCGTATATTCATGAGCGATTATTCCTAAAATTATAACAGTGTTATATTATGAGAGAGCGGTAAAAAGCTCATTTATGATAAGCACATAAAGTTTCATTCAGGCTTCAATGAATTTCTCAACTCTACGACTTCAGTCAGGTGACTAGATACCATTACGAATGGTTGTTGCTTGCGAATTTCGAAGACTGTTTGGACATGGATAACATACAGAATTGTTTATTTGAGGTGTAGAATCTTGAAAACCTCTTCCAAAAACACTCCATTGGATTGATGAGTAGTTAACGAGGTTTACCAAACTTGTCACTTTACTCCACGTTATATATTTAATTAAGGTACTACATCTTAAGGCAAAAAAGATGTGGCAACAAATGCTTTACATAATTTTTAGAATTCGAGAAGACCGGAATATGAGATGGTATCGAAATATTAATTCGTTATAAGAACGATAAATAGATAGTCTTATTCAGCAGACAAAAATTTGGAACAAATTTCGTTTATACACTCTTTTGAAAAATATATACTAGATAAGGCATTTGGCATCACATTCTCTCATAAGAAAGATAAGCTAAATACAGTAAGACGGATGGTTTGTAGGTGACACAATGATACTATAATATATGTTTGTAGGGAAACGTCGAATTCCTAAACACAAAACTACCGTAATTTTTAGAAGCTTGATACTAAGGCCGATAACCAGTCCATAAATACATTGATGAAATAAATCTAATTTACCATCCAACCAGAAAAACCAAAAAATTAGGTCAAGGGACAAGACAATCAAACCAGATACGATGGGACGTGCCGATAACAACCAACAAATTTTATTGCTGAAAAATAAGCTGTCAGATTTGATCAGTGTTGTTCTTTTTAATACATTTCATTGCATGATGACTAAAACCTAACTTCATTCTTCCAATAAACTTACTTTTCTCATCAACCAATGCATATAACTATTCTAAATATTATTGCAGTGTTCATGTACTTATTTTATGAGCTTTAATCTCTTTGGAATAAGTCATCACATGTTAATCATGTGGCAAGAGCTTTAAGTGATAAACCAACTAGTTTCAGTTTGTCGCTTTCCTGTCCATTTATTGAGAGTAGGGTGGAAACATTCCTAGTAAAATCCCCAAATGCCCTGGTACGGTCGAGAGTGGGGAGAGTCTACTCTCCCTCTCCAAATGCTCTCACATGGCCAACGAATATATAGCCTCTGCCAGGGAAGTCCTACTCACTGCCTTCTCGTGGCACCGGTGTTGTTTACGAAAGTCAGAGGACGAAAAGCTAATGTTCGGCGCTTTAACCGGGTTGGTGGACACGGAGGGTCCACCTAGGGGAGTTGGAAAACCCTGATTCCAAACCAATGGTGCACATGGGCTCCAGTATCCTAATGAAACGAATGCCGGACGAACCTGTCATTGGTCAACGGCTACCATGGGACTGCATCTCCTCACGATGCTTCACTGCCTTGTGGATCAGACTTTTTGGTCAAAGGCTCGGGGTGTGGCCCCCTAAGAAAACCACCTGCTTCGGTTTGGGCACCCGGGTAATATCACAGCCCACACACACAAATAGTGTGGCGCATATGTACCTGGTGCCCTTTTGTACCAATATGTGTTTAAATAAATAAAATGGAGTTGCGATATCGACTATGTCCTATCAACACATTTTATCTGCTGGACGGGATTTTACTGATTCAGTTAAACAACCGTAAATTTGCTTACCGACAATTGAAACACTTATTAAATTACAGCATAGCTTACGTTACGGTGAATGACTAAACATACTCGGATCTTCTCGATATATCAGGAATACTCCATACAGTCATGAATCAAGATATTTTTTTACCAAAGTTTTGTTCGACAACCATTAACGTGTGGTGGTATTTAGTTACACGAGATCAGTAACTTTTCAAACTGGTATCTTTTGCAAAGTGAAGAGGTGTTTCGCTAAAAAAATTATGATGGTTTAGATGTTGGTTGTAGCGTTAAATAGTAATGCTGAGAAGGATATTAATCGAGTTTTCCGAGTGTTCCTTCAATACTACGGTTGACAGATGTCTGCTAGATTAGCATGCTTAGGACTTTATCTTCTTTAGGCATCATCAAATGGCTCCTGGTATTATAAGTTGAATGAATTCATCAGAGTAGAAATAAGATATCCAAAACATTTGTTTACTGAGCCTTACGACAAATCTACCAGTGGCATTTTGTTACTATTATCCTTAGATGAATATTGATCCAACCAATTATTGTACTAGACTTCTTAGAAGTGAAGGTGTACAATTAAGCTATAATACTGTGAAATATTGATCCACTATAAGTTAAAGACTTTATTGAATGAAGTACGAACTGTATAACTATATAGAAGCATTCTACATCGACATATCACAAAATGATAAGCTTACATTGAATACAAAGTGTGGATGGGTATCTTACATAGAGAATAGTACTAAACGAATGTTATGACAATTAACGTGGTAGGCGTAAATTCACTGATAATTAGATAACAAAAAGGTAGCAATATATACATATAACCACAAAGGGAGAAAAAAAGTCAAAAATCTTCGTCCATAGAGGTCTATATATTATTAAACTTTTTGTACAAAAAGAAAGATTGATAACAATTGAATAATGAAACACTAATTACAAATAGACTATTGATGGAAAATTTAATGATAATAGCGATTAAGTGCAATCCGAGAACTATCTAGACAATTACAATAGGTGAATATGTGACAAAATTTCAGGTTAGTAGGATGGATGTTTAACGATGCAATCTTTAGATAATTCGACTTTACACATTTTCAGGAGTGCTTCGAAAGCTAAATTCTAAGGAGCAATTTGATGGGACTTGACACTGAAGAACGAATATCAATCTATATATGAAACACAGGAAATAGGTAGGAAACAATGCAAACTTAGTACCATTTTTCCAAAGAGAAGCTAAAGAAAAAAACCTGCAACCTACCAAGAGAAGCTAAGGGTAAAGCGTACGATAAACATTTTATGATCTAACAATTTTTGTAAGAATATCATTAAAAATATATCAAAACGAAACAACCCATCTTTAAACAAAAATTTTAGTGAAACATACTAGACTGGTATAGTAGTTTTACCTTACTGCCACAGTACGACAAAACAATTACAACTCATCTTGAGAATCCACACAATTAAAAATTTTCTATAAGACAACCAACACCTTTTAAAATGCTTTAGTTTGAATTAAGGGAAAGATACCGTTTACATTCACACAAAACTGTGTCTACTGAGATAGGTTTTATATTGAAGAACCTTCTAAAGAAACTTAAACTTGTGCTACGGAACACCCAACCCAACCTTAAATGACCTCTTAATAATTCTGTACAGCTAAAAGCCTACGAATTAAATCGACAATAGTACATGTTATTCCCAATAACCACCAAATCGATATTAAAAATATTACAATAATTCAGATAGGTCGTTCCAACTACAAACATAAGTGAGTACTCGAAGTGTTGCATACATTACTAAATCTTCCTACCCTCAATAGAAAACAAGGCCTGATATTCATCCGAATGTTTATCCAAACAACTACATTTGACTCGTCATTTCACACGCAATTACAGCACATATAGAATTCTTCATATTACAAATGTTTCATTTCTCATACCAGCCATCGGATATACAAATGCACAGTGATAACTCATGCAGAATCATGTTGACTGAAAAATTAATATATCTATGTTGATTTTGACTAGACTTAAAATGTCTACCCCATTTCTATTTTTCCGATCTATTTATTCATTCACTCTGAAGAAGTGCCCTACAGTAAGTCACGAAAAGTCAAGAATTCAGACTTCTAATTACTGAGATAATAACAATGTATTAGGATTATATTAGCACCGTTACACCCAATGCTCAATTTATTTGAAATCACAAAGTTCAACTCTGGTATTAACACCCAGAAACTTACATTATCCTACGCACGTGCATCGTATATTGACTCTGGAACGCTTACGACTATACCATCCATATCCTCGTTGACTTTGACCTGACAACCTAATCGTGATCTGAAAATTAAAAACGAATGTGTAAGTTAGCAAGTGATTTACATGACACTCGACAAAGTTAGCAAAGCTCGAATTTGTGACATCGTATTTGGGTACCCACATGTTCCATAGTTCTTCAATCACTCTTTAAGGCAAGCCATCTCAATCTCTTGATTGTTCCATTAAAATTGTTGTAGTTTCCAGTCCACGTCTAGAAACTAATATTAATAATATGAAGGATCCACCTAGAGGAGTTGGAAAATCCTGGTTCAAAACCAATAGTGTACATAAGCTCCGGAATCCTAAGGAAACGAATGACGTGTGGACCTACTGTTGATTACCAGCTAACATAGGACTGCATCTCCTTATGTTCTTCCACTGCCTTGCGGATCAGACATTTAGGTTAAAGACCCAGTATGTGGTCAGTCAGCTACAATGTAGGACCAGGCACATTTATGCATCGGTCCAAGTTGCCATACCTCATTAGCACAAGAAGATGAACACCGGATTTATAGAAATAGTTAATTTAGTGGTGGTAATATATAAAAGAAAAATTGCATTTAAGGATATAGTATAGGAAGGAAGACAGATATGAAGCAATTTTAATCTCAAGGTTTACGGGAAGTTAAAGAGTGTATACACCAACGCCATTGTGATCGATTCTGAGCCATGTCACACAGAGTCTCCAACCACTTATTACGATAGTCACGCGGACCCCAACTAGGTAGTCTGGATCTACCAACATGGATCAGGCTAGAAGTTAGTGAGTTCAAACACTATTTTATTATTTATTTAAACACATATTGGTACAAAAGGGCACCAGGTACATATGCGCCACACTATTTGTGTGTGTGGGCTGTGATATTACCCGGGTGCCCAAACCGAAGCAGGTGGTTTTCTTAGGGGGCCACACCCCGAGCCTTTGACCAAAAAGTCTGATCCACAAGGCAGTGAAGCATCGTGAGGAGATGCAGTCCCATGGTAGCCGTTGACCAATGACAGGTTCGTCCGGCATTCGTTTCATTAGGATACTGGAGCCCATGTGCACCATTGGTTTGGAATCAGGGTTTTCCAACTCCCCTAGGTGGACCCTCCGTGTCCACCAACCCGGTTAAAGCGCCGGACATTCGCTTTTCGTCCTCTGACTTTCGTAAACAACACCGGTGCCACGAGAAGGCAGTGAGTAGGACTTCCCTGGCAGAGGCTATATATTCGCTGGCCATGTGAGAGCATTTGGAGAGGGAGAGTAGACTCTCCCCACTCTCGACCGTACCAGGGCATTTGGAGGCAAGTTCAAACACTGATGCTATGTTTTGGTTTGGCCGCCCCTAACTCTCTTCCAACCATCCCCAATACTAGTCATCATAGCGCGTCGTGGTAATCGATGTTCAGGCATACGCAACACGTGGCCCAACTATCTCAGTCGATGAAGATTCATGTCTTCATCAACTGATTTACCTCCATTCCCTAATACCCTGCGTCTATCCTCACTATTACTTACCCGGTTATGCCAGCAGATGCGAGCAATATTTCAAGGCATCTGTGGTCAAATACTAGTAACCTACGAGTATCTTCTACTCTTAATGACCATGTTTCACGGCCGTAAAGTAGAACAGAGAGAACTGCTGTGCAGTATATTTGTCCCTTAATTCATAGACGGATATCTCGTCATCGCCATAGGTAACGTAAGTTGGCAAAAGCCAAACGAGTTTTTTGAATCCGTGCTGAGATTTCGTTAGACACCAATACATTAGGGCTGATCAGACTTCGAAGATAAGTGAAGTTGTGGACGCTTTCGACTACTTAACTCCCTATATTTTAGTTCAGGTGTTGACGCAAGCCAGTTCTGGAGTAACAATTTACATTTAGATGGGGAGAAACGTATCCCAAACATCCTGGCATTATTACTCAGTTCTAACAGAAGACTCTGCATTTTGTCAGCGTCTTCACCAAACAGGACTATGTCATCTGAGTATTACAAGTCGATAAGTGGACCCCTTGGTGGGAGATCGATTCCTGAAAATTCAGTCGAAGAGAGTGTTATTTTCAACAATAGGTCTATAATGAAGTTAAACAAAAATGGGGATAGTGGACAACCTATCGGACAGCACTTGAGGTTGTAAAACCAGAAGACAGTTCGCCATAAGCTCTAATTTGACTAATAATGTTCGAGTACAGGGCCCCTACAGTACAATAAGTACGTTTAAATAGACTGCCTTCCCCAAACAGGACCAACAGACCAAAGACAGAAGGCACGATTTAAACCTAATTTCTCTGAAAAATCTGTGAAGTTCGGACGCATTGTGTTTGGCTTGAGACAAATTCACATGTTTCACGGACCTGATTAGGATAACTGTCACTATGCAGAAACATCAATCTAACACCTTTACATAACAATACCTCACAGTGATATAAGGCCTATAATCTGAGATGAAAAACAAATTGTGCTCAGATGAAATTGTATACACAATAATCTTCTAGTATATATGCCAAGTCAACATTGGCGAGACTATAATTTATGGACGAACCAATCAGATAAAAGATAACTAATGTTGAATTTTGGCTCAAAATTTATTCATTCACTTGGTTAAATAGCGTTTTGGTATTGTAGCTGATGAGTTTGTGATGGAAACCCAGAATCTAATCCTTTACCGTAGCCATCAAGTGTACATCTTAATTTCCCAGACTGGTTTACAACCCTAGTTCAGTCCTAGTTATTAGGTAGACACAAGGTTACCTTAGCATCGCCCAAAGGTCGTCCATAAATTACACTCACATCATGTCTTCGGTCGGGCACAAGACTATATTTATGAGTCTTGAGGTTTCATTTAAGCCATAGCAATAAGAAACTTACGTGTCAGTTAAACCATAGGCTAAATCCAACATATCCTGTTCTTCTTCTGTTAAGGGATCCCGCAAATTATCGAAATCTTCCTTGGCAAATATGAGGTGACAGGTTGAGCATGCTAGTGTGCCTTCACAAGCGCCTACACACAATTAAACATGTAAAGAAACATACCGAACCCGTCGATATCAACATCGTTATCTAACACAACATCCAATAAGTTGTCGCCAACTTTCGCGTATACGGTCTTATTACGTCCGTTCTTCCAAGAGAAAGTGATATTCACGCTTTATCTTAATCACAATGCGAATAAAAAAACTAAGTACCACTTTTTCGGCTGACCACTAACGGACCGTGATAACGACAAAACAGACCCATTCCTAAGAGAACACCGTGCTAGCCGTAGTAACGACAACATTGAAATGCCCGGGGCTTAAAATGGTTCAAATGGTTCAAATGGTTGTGAATAAAATCAGACTTTAGTCTTCAGTAAAAAGGATAGTAGGTACGTGAACCTGTGTTAATCCTTATTGTTACTCCTAAGTCTTTATGTTCTGTGAAGCGTTGAAGAGATGTACCATTAATGGTATAATGGTAACTATTTCCGTGTACGATTTGAATGAGCACGCTCTTCCTGTAATTAACTTCTAAGCCTCAACCATGAGCCCATCTAACTAATTCGTCGAAGTCAGCTTGGAGATGACAAATATCAGTCTCACTTCTTATTGTTCTCCAGATTTCGACATCATCCGCAAACAATATTTACGACGACTTAAGTAATAATAATAATAAATTATTCTCAAATAACAGTTTGTTACATGAGGCATGCCGGTTTACAGGCAAGATCAAATTCTTACAGCAGTTACAACTTTCATTGTAGAAAATTACTCAGCGGGGTTGATATTTTATAAGATATGGATGTAAATGAATTTCGTAAGAAACATGTCAATATCACACTTGGTGCACTTTATGAGGGTAGCGTTGCAACATACAGCTGACGGTCGAGATTAGATTCATGCGAAGTTGGGGGTTTTTAGCAGCTTCAGCCTTACATCCCTCCGGAATATCAGTGCCATATCCGTTTTCGGTGGGGTATCTCCAGGGGGCTGAAAAAGGTGTAAGAAAAAGGAAGGACAAAAAACAGAGCACACAATATTCATGGAGGAGTAGTTAAGGTATAACCACTTAGTCTATTTGTCTGTTATTGAAGTACTTATTAGGTAAGAGCATACTAATGTGTTGAAGAAAAATAAGTGTGAACAAGGTATGAGTGTGAGGATACGACTGGTATTCTGACTTTACAATTAGCTACCAGTAGCACCTTCTATAATCGAAACCTTCTTAGCCAAATAGAAATCAGAAGTCAGACGAGAAGGAGTAGGAATGATATATTTGACACGTTATCAATATATCGAGGAACGTTTATTCTAAGCTGACTAGTGAACGCAGGAGCAGTGTCCCACGCTGAGTCGATACGTGATCTGGTACGGATGCATGACCGAAAGCCTTCAGTTAAACAAGTCCACTTAAACAACGTGGTCAGCATCCAATGTCGAACACATAATGAGCTATTGCTTTTGGGAATTATCTACAGCTACAAGTGGATAAGGAACTGTATAAATAAAGGTAGTTCAGAAAGAAGTATGGAATTATGTGTAATTTAAAAAAAATTGCTGAAAACAGTATTCCGATACAAACGGATGTCTCCCTTTTTTCGAAGCTGTTTGAACTCTCTTTTTTTGTTTTTATATTGTATAGGGTATGGAATGGGCTTCGTTTTTAGCCAATCGTCTAGTTTGCTTGTAATAGGATTACTCGGTAGGAAGTGGAACCAATTCAGCTTTTTTTAACATGGTTTAAAGAGGTATTTTGCATGAATAAGTTCGCATCAATACCGTTGGTTCGTGACATCCCACTTGACATAAGGAGCCGTAATTTAATATGTTCCGCCCTACAGACACGGGTGGATTGAAGTTATCTCCTCATCATCATGTTTGCTAGTCACTAACACCACCCTCTCTCCGTTTATGATGCTAGGCTCTCTTACGTTTGTGGTCAGCATGAATATTGCTTTAATCAGGGACCATAGTTGGAATACACTGTCTGTACAAGTTCCATGTTACAAGCAAATCAGATGGTAAAAGCATTTCTATTATGGGTTAGATATCCATTTAATATATCGTACTACTACGAAGATAACTAATGGTAAAGGTTATAAGAGACAAGTCAGATTATATGTGATTAAGATATAGTAAATAGAGTATATGCATTGTTTCTTAGTCTATAGGCTGGGTCATTGATCATAGTTGGAAAGGAGGTTAGAAATGACAGTCCATTTATTACTTTCCAGAGAAACATCAGATTGTTCCCTAACCTACGGTGCCATAAATGTTCTAAAGAGAGGTGCTTACATTTACTTGTGTAATCGAGAGTGGAGTCACTTCCTATATTTCGCGTATAAAGCGTCTTTGAACATCTTCTACTTTTATTTTGCCAGTGGTATTCAGATTAGAGAAGATAAAAGAGCAGTATTCTAAGGAAGGTCGTACACATATTTTGTAAAGGTTAAGCTTAGCCCATGTTGTGAATAAATTTTTTGTTATGAAGCCAATTAGACGTCTAGCTTTACAAATAATAGAGGACTTACTTACTTACTTACTTACGCCTGTTACTCCCAATGGAGCATAGGCCGCCGACCAGCTTTCTCCAACCCACTCTGTCCTGGGCCCTCTTTTCTAGTTCTTTCCAGTTCTTGTTCATTCTTCTCATGTCTGTCTCTATTTCTCGGCGTAATGTGTTCTTTGGTCTTCCTCTTCTCCTTCGACCTTCAGGATTCCATGTGAGGGCTTGTCTTGTGACACAATTGGGTGATTTCCTCAAAGTGTGCCCAATCCACTTCCAGCGCTTCTTCCTGATTTCTTCCTCCATTGGAATCTGGTTTGTTCTCTCCCACAGTAACTTGTTGCTGATAGTGTCTGGCCATCGGATCCGAAGTATCTTGCGTAGACAGCTGTTAATAAACACTTGTATCTTCTGGATAATGGCTTTCGTAGTTCTCCACGTCTCTACCCCATACAGAAGAACTGTCTTGACATTTGTATTGAAAATTCTAACCTTGGTGTTGGTTGACAATTGTTTTGAGCTCCAGATGTTGTTCAGTTGTAGGTATGCTGCTCTTGCTTTGCCGATCCTCGCCCTCACATCTGCATCTGATCCACCGTGTTCATCAATGATGCTGCCTAGATATGTAAAGATTTCCACATCCTCCAAAGCTTCTCCGTCAAGTGTAATTGGATTGGTGCATATTGTATTGTATCGGAGAGTCTTGCTTTTCCCTTTGTTTATATTGAGACCTACTGCTGCTGAGGCTGCTGCTACACTGGTCGTTTTCTCCTGCATTTGTGTAGCAGAGGAGGCGTGTGCTTTAAAGTTTAGGCTTCCTGTGTAATTAATTCCTAGATCATGTACTGAATTAAGTGTGTGGACTTTACTTTTATTAAAGTAAAGTTGTGGTTCATTGGGGTGCTTTCCAAAGTGCATGGTCCCGCATTTGTGGAGATTAAATGGTAATTGCCACTTTTCGCTCCAGATAGTTAGGTTTTTGAGATCATCAGCATATAAGTATGGTTTCCCAGATTTTATAATGTTACACAAGAATCACATAAGAATTTTCCTATCCAAAGCTCGAGAGATTCTGCATATGACCTGAGTGTGAAACCTTATTAAACACTTTGCTAAAATATATGAATATCACATAGACAGACAGTCTGTTATCTTGGGCTGTTGTCCAATTCTCTCTTGCAATAGGTAAGTTAGTTAAGCATGAACGCTCGTTACGAAACCCATGTTGCTCAGGAGTTAACCAATTGTGCCAATCTATGTGACTCAGTAACTTAACTCGAATTATTTTTTAAATAACTTAGCGACTCTGCTGGTTAGGCTGACAGGCCGGCATTTAGATACCATCAGTTTCTGATCATCCTTAAATATAGGGTTGACTATAGCGTCTTCCCAGTGTCTAGGTAGTTGAGCGAGTGAAAGGGACATGTTGACTCTTTTTCTTTATTATGTGAGAATCTCCTGGAATTTTCCGAAAAACTTATACCTGTCCAAAACAAAGTACTTGTCAGTTGACTCTTGACTACCTCACCGAATCACCAATGAATAGAACTCATTATCTGACACGTGTTTGGATCTACGTCTGTTGACGCGTTCAAAAAAATTTGGATTGACTAGGAAACTACTACTGCCAGTTTTCAGACAGGTCACCTAGCCGCCCATGATTTCTAGACTACGGCTGGAACCAAAATATCAGTCTTTCGAATATAGTGCAGAGAGAAGTGATTTAGAAGAGAATGAGGTAGACTTTAGGAAACAATATATTTTATTATAGACAAAGGTTAAATCGGAGTCACTGAACTGGCCTTCTGCAGGCTGTAAAGCGTCTACTTAGAGGTACACAAGTATAAGGCCTCTATCATTGGCTAGGCATCTCCAGAAACCAACAGTTTCAGCATTGACGTCAAATATCTCTAGTGTTATTCATTTGAAGAATCATTGGGCAACACAGCAGTATAACGATCACTAATATTGAATACATTATAATGAATTGGGATACCCGAAAATGTAAAAATCGTGCTTTAGTAGCAAGGACTGGATTAGCATTTGGAGAGAGAGAAACTATAAACGCCTGTGCAAATTCCGAGTCGCGCTGACAAACAAGAAGCGTATTCAGGGACAGGACAGTTATCGTTCCAAAAATAAACTACAGGAACAGAATTCCCACGCCTTTCGGGCTAAATATTATTACAACATACATTATAGATAAGACAATAGGTATTATTTTATGTATTAAACTTGATTTTTTCCTCCTTTAGAAATTTGATGTTAATAACAGGAATAATGCAATGGAGTTTCAAAGCAGAAAATTCGGTAGTCATTGTCTGTTTAGGTCCATCTGCAATTTGCGCTTAAGAATTTATTTAAAAATATCACATCAGTCAGATGAAAAACTCCGTCTTTTAGAAAAAAATATAAGGGAACCATTTTCTTATTTTGCTTAGGACCCCTGAAACTGCTGCCTGTCTACGAATATATCATAAATTATTATATTACCTATAATCGTATTTATTTTAATTGAAAACGTCCACATGTGTATTGAACACCAAAAAAAAACACTGAAGCTTAGACTGTAGGAGAACAAACATAGTCATAAGCGTAGAATAGTTCATCTGAAAAATCTGTAATCTGAAGGATTCTGTTGCTGATCAGATGCTGGTGGTATATTATCCTGATTTACGGAAATGAGGGTTTGATATGAGTTTCAGGTTCGGGGGTACATGTGAGAACTATTGCAAGTGCCATTCCATGATTATAACCGGTAATATATATTTCAGTATGTTTCGGTGTCAGTTAATAATTAAGATCTCGAACAACAATCAGTTCTTCATATCCACTGAACAATGTTTATAGCTTGGACATTAAATGACCATTGGTTTCTCAAGGTCAGGTAAACAGCTGTAGGGTCAGACCAATGGTGCAACCAACCTAATGCAAAAGTAAACAGTATAGCTATGGGCAATTGCCTGAGGTGCAGAAATACTGATTCTTCAGCTGACGTTGGAAATAGTGACGCACAACTTCGACTAGAAAGTGAAAGACGACGTAGTCGTTTGCCTCCATATTTTGTAAGTCCTTTGTCTTACAAACAGTAATGTCTCTGTTGTCTACAATAAGCAATCAGAAGGCAGTTATTTGTAGTTATCACTTCTAATGAAAATAGGATTCGGAATTAGCCTTCGAAGGTGCTTACCTCTGGTCACACCATTGTAATAGTACGTAAGTGCACAAACACTATCTTAAGTGGAATTACATTTGGTATGATGTTTATTCTGCATAAAACATCATATCAAGGGTCCTCCAAGTTGAATCGGTAATAAGAGGTACTGACTATGTGTCCAATTTACTCGTGCATCATATTGAGCAATTTTTATATTAAGAGATATTGAGGCTCAAATAGTCTTCAGTTGTAAGATGTTTTGAAATTATTTCTGAATTGTCTTTGATCTAAATCAATTTCTTGTGGCTACATTTTTATTCGTTTTCTAGCTTTTTGTTGTGTACACTATGTAATTATCAATGAAGATCCCAGATGTTTCTTACAGTTCCTTAGAAATCTAAACTTTGTTGTACGGTCCTTATAGTCCACGGATAGTGGTTTTATATAAAAATCTCATTTCTGCGTCTTCTTATTGAAGTAAAACATATTTTCAATAATGATAAATTCTCGACCTTTCATTTGAAGAACCCCGTCTGTGAAATCAAACTAGTTGGCAGTTCTCTTTCCTTTTGATTTCTGTCTGTTTTCTTACTTAGTCAAAAGTTTGTATGGATGGAAACTCCTTCGTGTTACATGTATGACGGACTCGGATACTCTACCTTAACGCTTCCATTGTTCTGCTGAAGTATTACAGGTCCAAAATTCAGCGACTAGCTGTCAGTCCAGGAATTTAAGTGTCATCTTCAGAGCTCACAATCAGCCTGTTTTAGAGTTTCTTACACATATGTGTTGTCAGCAGCTTAATGACAGTAAAAATAAGGTTATCTGCTAGTTTATTCTCACGTAATTTGCTATAAATGAGCTGAAAACCTGTTTGTGGCTTTTCGATGTGTCCAATCACTGCCGCATTCTCCTTTTAATATTATGATCTGAACTAGAGAAACAGAAAGCTCTTAGGTAACATGTCTTCTTTCAGTTATTAACTCTTTACCATGACCTTATGGGTTCAAATAAATGTTTGAATGTTACAATCTAGCCGAACACTGATTATTTACTTATAGAATAGTGAGAATAAATACAAGGTGGAAATGTTTTTATTTAGCGATATCGTATACCTAGAGCTTCTACTAAAAATCCCAAAAGAGTGGATCGGCTAATTTGTTCGGGGGCACGTACTGTATGTGCTGCATCACGATTAGAAAATTGTGTAAATTAACAAACTAAGGAAGAACAAATGTAATCTTAAGAGGGACTAATTTTTGTTGTTGTATAAACTATTGGTAAAACCACTGATTATTTTTATAAACCTTTTGAAAACCTATTAATAGGTCGATAATTGGATATTTCAAACAAAGACGTCATTTGTTTCCGTTCATATGTCATCTTATTTCCTTTACGAACCCAGTTTGTTCTTTTAACTATCTAGGTTTTATTATAGTGTCATAGTATTTCTCTCTACACTGAACTCCCCGAATATTGGTCGTCATTATTACTTCCTACAAGTATCTCATTACGAATCTGAGTAAATAGTGTCGTTTCACATAATTATTTTCTGTGGTTGTTAATAATGTAGTGTTTCTCTTTTCCATCTGATTCATTTACTAGCAATGAAATCGTTGGGTCAGCTGACTATAACTTTTAATCCAAGAGTCCTTCCAAGCTTGATAAACCAATGTCTAAGGAAATCTCTGAAAGAATACAAGCCCGCTTGACTTTTACTAACTTGCATCACAAACAGCCTAGGTCTTTTTTCTATTGGCTAGATATAGAATATATTGTATACCAGTTCACCCTACAGTACTCTACATGGTCCATAAATGCAGCAAACATACTTATATTGTTTATATTTGGTTATAGGTGCCTCAGCAGATTTATTGCATGTACCAAAATCACGAAAGACTTTTGTTGAGATCAAGCATATAAGAAATGGCAAATCAAATTATTAAGCTAGTAACATTTTTCGACTGTGCTGGGTGGATATGCAGTGCTGACTAGCGTGGGAGTAAGTCGGAAACCAGGTAGATTTAACCAAACGACGTTATGGCACTATTCAAATTAGCCATCGATTATGAACTTAGCCATGCTAAGTGATTTTGACTTTTTTCTGAGGTCCAAGAGAAAACGTAATCAGTGATTTATGTTAAGCCTCAGCATAAGATTGGCCTAATTTATGCATACATATGTATACTTGATCTCCGTCAAAATATTAAGCCCAGTATTATCCTATACTTTTCACTCATTAGTTTCGTTTTATTAAATCCTTTTGGCTTGTAAGTCGAACATTTATTTTTCCACTACTGTTGATATTATTACTATTAAAACTCATCCTCTTTTCTGCTCATTAATTCTACCCATCATTTTGGTGTAATTATTAACAAAATGAACTGATACACATGTGCCGGATGTTACATTATTCACAACTGACTTGTGTTTGTGGGGTCATGAAGTTTTGCCTTAGTTCTGGGATGAAATTTTGTTCAGCTTACTACTATGGATGATTCACATGGTGAATGTTACTATATCATTACTTGCTTGCTTATTCATACTTTATTAAAAAAATATGTTGTAAAGCTTATGTTGTACAGAAAAAAAATCATTTTGTAAATATTTGCCGTTTACGTATTAGGAGAATGATCCAATTATGCATCCTACTCCTGGTGTCTCACGACCTATGTCCCAGTTAACTGAAGAGGAGCAAGTGAGAATCGCTACACGTATGGGCTTGATTTCCACACTACCATTGTTTAAATTCGATGAATCGAAGAGAGAGAAACTATTTGAGTAAGTTATTCGATGGGTTTTTATGTATAAAGATTATTTTCATATGAAAAGTTAACATTATCCAACTTTTTGTTAGTTTAGTTTAGTTACATTATTATTTATTTTTTTTGTTAACCGATCCATTACACATCCAAACTCTCATTCATAATCCATATAGAATATTTCTTCCTAATACACCATCTTACTTTGTGGTATGTTACTTACTAGCTTAGAAAATTGTTTTCAAATCCAGTGAAGTACTAAATTTGACAAAAGATATAATATTTACAGTATTCATTATTTCCAGATTAATTCGTCAGTAAAATAATAGACATAACTGATTGAAGCACTTAGTTTTCAACCATTAAGTTGATGGCCTGAACTCAACATTCATTATCTAAAGCATTACTCAAAGCTAATTACTTAAATTTGTTCTTGATAATTGGTTGACATTGATTTTTGATTATTTGCTACTATAGTTGTCCCTCACTTTTTGGCTTTTTGTGTAAATAAGTAAGTTTTTACCGCATCATCTCTTGGTGTACAAATACGACAGTAGTACATGTAAGCAATTACAAGTTTATGAAGTCATTGGTTTATTGTAGGTATAGCAAATTGGATGCTAGAAATTCATGTATTCCAGATATTTGAAGACATATTTTTCATAAGTTAATTATTATAACAAAAATATACTTATTATCTTCCAATTACTGAATATTATTATATAGTGGTTGTTCTATGGTTGAGGCGTTCAGCCTTTAGATATTAAAGCCTAAGTTCAAATCCATCTCCACTTCGGTTTAGATAACTAAGTAGTGTCATCAGTCCTCACACCTAAAATGTGATTCATACCTAAGATCTTTAGCGAACGAGTTGATAATTATAATTTAATACCGCCTTTTTTGTTCTTGTCTACCGACAACAACAACAACAACTGATCTCTATTTCATCAGTTATTTTATTATTTCCTTTTCTTGGATTTCTGATTTTGATATTCGGTATTAGTTATATGTTTCGTAAAAAAACACAATATGTTTGGTTGAAATTAAAAAAAACTCAATACAGGATAAGTTACTAAGTGAACTTATTTGGCTTTACTTCTTTAATATATGAAGAATGAGCTATTTAAATGGTTGGAAACTCTGGGTGATATGGCTCAGAATCGATCACAATGGCTTAGGTGTATACACTCTTTATCTTCCCTTAAACCTTGAGATTAAAATTGCTTCATATCTGTCTTCCTTCCTATACTATATCCTTAAATGCAATTTTTCTTTTATATATTACCACCACTAAATTAACTACCTCTATGAATCCGGTGTTCATCTTCTTGTGCTAATGAGATATGGCAACTTGGACCGATGCATAAATGTGTCTGGTCCTACGCTGTAGCTGACTGACTGACTCTTTGTAAATGGGACTAATCTATATTCGTTATACATCTACACGTATTATTACTATTTTTGTAATATGCATACTCTAAGTTTGAATACTTAATATGATTTGAGAATTTTTTTTGCCTACCGTAGTTTGAAATTTCATGCAATTTAGTAAATGTAAAATAATAAACGTAGCAGAATAGTGTTGCATTCGTTTTATTTTATGGTTTCTCTTCAGATGTTTTTTTTAGCTTAAAATTTATTTATGTAAACACATAAGTATTGGTACAAGGGGGGACCAGATATATATGCGCCACACAAATCTTATTTCATTTGTGTGAGGGCTGTGATAATGCTCAGATGCCCAAACTGAAGCAGCTGGTTTTCTTATGGGACCACAACCGGAGCCTTTGGCCTAAGGATCTGATCCACAAGGCTGTGGAACATCGTAAGTAGATGCAGTCCGATGGAAGCCGGTGACCAACAATTGATTCATACGCCATTTGTTCCCCCGGGATGCTGGAGCCAGCTCATGTGCACTATTAGTTTGCAATCAGGGTTTTCAAACACCCTAGGTGGACTTTCCCTGTCCACCGGTGCGGTTAAGGCGCCGGACATTCGCTTTTCGTCCTCTCGATTTCGTAAACAACAGTAATGCCAAGAGAATGCAGTCAGTAAGACTTCCGTGGCAGAAGCTATATACGCGTGGCCATGTGAGAGCATTTCGAGGGAGAGCGGACTCTCCCGAATCTCGGCCGTACCAGGACATTTGGGGGCTTATCTTGAAAGCAGTTGTAATAATTACTTAAAACTAAGATACATACGTGATATTATATTGACGAAAATTAAAAGAATAAAAGACAATAGATATGAAAGAAATATAAAGTATCGAAGTGGAAGATTGATTTTGTTACAATGTGTGAAATTTCCTGAAGAAAGTAAATTTAAAACAAATGGAAACAGTTTTCTAGAAAATGAAAGTAAAAATTAATGTTCAAAGTTACGTGATAACAATCGTAAAATTGTGTAGATTAACAGAGTGAGTTGAGTAAGGCTAAAAATGAATTCCTATAGATTGTGTCATCGATTGTAGCACAGACACACACACACACTATGTATTGTCACATCGTAGTAGCGTAGTCTTCTCATGGTTATGGAGTTCAGTCAGTCAGTCAGCTACAACGTGGGACCAGGCACATATATGCATCGGTCCAAGTTGCCACACCTCACTCATTATCACAACAAGATGAACACCGGATTCATAGAGGTAGTTAATTTAGTGGTGGTAATATATAAAAGAAAAATTGCATTTAAGGATATAGTATAGGAAGGAAGACAGATATGAAGCAATTTTAATCTCAAGGTTTAAGGGAAGATAAAGAGTGTATACACCTAAGCCATTGTGATCGATTCTGAGCCATATCACCCAGAGTCTCCAACCATTGGTTACGATAGTCGCAGGGACCTCAACCAAGTAGTCTGCACCTGCCAATATGGCTTAGATTAGAAGTTAGTGACTTCAAGCACTGATGCCACGTTTTGGTTTGGCCGCCCCTAACTGATTATGGAGTTACACACTTATGAATTTGAATCTAATTACTATCACTCATGGTTTTAGTGAATTTCAGGATTTTATTAATGTAAAATCATACACCATAGTACAATTTAGGATGAAATAGGTTAATTGATCACTCTTGGTCTTATACGAAAATCTTATTACGTGATGAATTTTGTTAAAAATATGTATTAGTATAATTGTAAAGATCATTACAAGTAACAAATGTGTGAAAATACAAAAGCTAACCTAAACATATTGGTCAAATCCATCATAAGTAGTGGCATCAAAACATGGCATCAGTGGTTGAAGTCACTAACTTCTTATCGTAGTCATGTTAGTAGATGCAGACTACTTGGTTGTAGTCCGTGTGACTTTCGTAACTAATGATTGGAGACTTTGGGTGACGTGACTCAAAATCGATCACAATGGTGTAGTTGTATTCACTCTCTGTTTTCTCTTAAACTGTGGGATTGAAATCGCCTTATATTTTTCGTTCTACCAACTAATTCTTCCTGTACTATATACAAAATCTATATACAAAATCTATACAAAATCTTTCTTTTATATATTACAACCATTGAAGTAACTGCTTCTATGTATTTGGTGATCGTCTTATTGTGCTAATTAGGTGTAGCAACTTGAACCGATGCATATATATGCCTAGTAGTCGTATATTGTAGCTGACCGACTGAATGATAAACTTATCAACATGTATACCAGTGTTGTAGAAGCAGTATAAGTGTCTTGTAAAGTTGATTAGGTTTCAAAGAAGATAACTCGTGAAGGAAGTATAAATTCAAGATCTAAAGGAAAACAAAAAAAAACTAAATGAATCTATAACATTAGGATTGATTCTTAGTCACATTATTCAATGTGACTATCAAAGTGGCTATCAGGACTCAGTGGCCGAATGGATAACGCGATGTCGTTTGAAGCGTGGGTATTGGGTTCTAGTCCCAGAGTGAACATCAACTCTTAGATGCAAGTACACCCAGCTGACGAGTCCCAAATAGGATGAAATGTCGCGCGTCCTGGATTCCACTGCTAGCTACTATCCATCTCTGCTTACCAATATATGAATTCGTTTAAACAAATTGTGTCAATAAAGCAACAACTAGTAATTTACAAACTGTAGCACACGAAATTCGAAATTTTCTTTTTTTTGAATGTTTTGATTTATAGAATTAGATTGTGCTAATTTAGTAGATGTTAGGAACATAGATAAATAAAACAAAAGTCATTTCTAAATGATCTAATCAACAATCTTTATGATGTTGTTTTAGATATTTGATGGTATATGACTTAATTCATCAAAAGAGAAGAAAAACTTCGAAACACACCTGAATAAAAATGAACCTAAAATCAATCGATTACTTACTCAATAGAATTCAGAAGGGGTTCTGTGGAGATTTCAATAGTTTCATAGTTGAAATCATGAGTCAATTGAAGCTAGATCACTATGGATAACCTGGAAGTACTGGACTGTCGTTTCGTTCTATTGTGGGACTCCTCAGCAGTGCACGTCCACGATCCCGCCTCACTAATGACTGACTTTTAGAGATATTTCATGGAGCTCTAGTGAGAAGCAGTGACCAGTGGAGTTCAAACCACGTCTGTTGTAAGATATCAACTCACTGAAGACAATTGGTGAACGGTTTCTCAAACATCGTGGATTGGTTGAAGTTAGACATTAATATTGTCGGATGCCAGCTCCGTGGTGTATCGGTTAAGTGCTCTGACGCGAGAGTGGTAGGTCCTGGGTTCGAATCTCGCGAGGCGGGATCGTGGATGCGCACTGCAGAGAAGTCCCATAATAGGACGAAACGGCCGTCCAGCAGTGCTTCCAGGTTTTCCATGGTGGTCCAGCTTCAATTGACTCATGATTTTGACTATCAATAGAATTCATTGTTTGGTATGGTAGTAATTGAAATTGATGACTTCATTCATTAATCTGCATGATTCAGTGACGAAACATTTATTGTTCTTCGAAACAACAGTGTCAGCACAAACTTTAGCTAGAATCCATTGAAAATCTCAATAATCGACCATTTGTTTTTGTTTTTTCGACGAACTCTACATCCATC